CTTCATTACCCATTCAAGCAGTCTCCAGCCATTATTTCATCTTGGGTACTCGTTAAAGATACAAAAGTCTTGGCAGGCATGAATGCAGTCACTGGATCTTAAACATAATGATGAATAGCAGAAAAATTATATTGTTTTAACTTGCATGTACTCCTTGTGCTGAGACACTAATGGATATCTAACTATTCACTAACTGTTGTTCTAATCTTATTTTAGTAAGTCAGTTTATATTTATAATTGGATATATTATATTATCATTTTCAGGAATTGAAGCAAGATTGTATGGATCTTCTGTAAATGGGTTTGGTCTAGTAGGTAGTGATGTGAACATAGACTTAGTATTACCAGTGAATGAGGTGGGCTCTACCATTTTGGCAAAAACTTTCCAATTGTTGAAAGAATTAGGTAAGTTCAGAACTATATTCAGATTTAACCCTCTTGCTACAGGCCTCCTTTTCTGTATGTTACATTAAAAAGTTAATTACAATACTTTCTTATCATGGTATACAAATAAACTTGGCTAATAATCCAAATTTTATTATTATATGAGTTTTAAGTTGTTAATTTTATAAGGTAATATTAAAAATATCCTGTATTTCCCCTAGTATGAGAATTGTGACATTTGCTCTCTAGGCTTCCCCCTCTTCTCTAATTTACTTACCACCCCTCCAAGAAGTACAAAATTTAACATAAATTACTCGTTATAATTTGTCATCATTCAGGCAAAGCATAATTTTTATAGCCTTTGATCTTATTTGGTTACAGAGCCATGAAATAGAAAATCAGACCCCTCTTGCCACGCCCATTTGTCACATCCTCTCTCTCAGAAATTTCCAGTAGTTCTCTCTGATGTTTAATACTGTATTAGTTACTTCCAGTAGAAAGTTAAAGTTTTAATCTATCAAATGATGTGCTATATTGTATTGTTTTCAGTACAGAGAATTATCTGTTTTGCTTACAGTTCAAAATTTATTCTCATGGGAAACACATTGACGAGTTTAGATGAATTTTTAATGCATAGTTGGAAAGCCAGAAAAATTGTAATAGTTATAGGACACTGTCTGCTTTTGTGCGTTATTATTCTGTGTTCTTTGGTGCATTATTTAATTGAATAAAAAATTATTTAGTGCTGTAGTACCATTATCATAAGAAAGTAGGGTTAAGTTTCATCAACAATCAACAGCAACAAAAAATAAGACCCAGGTAACTACTATAATTCTTTTTTTTTCATGTGTGTTCAGTAACTAAAATGCAAAAATTAGAGACTTTTTAGGTTATATAAGGTTAGATTAGGTAAAATAAAGAATAATAGTAATAATAATAGAAAGTATTCAATAGGTACACTCATGAGTAGCGAGTATGTAATTCGATAGAGTAACGTGAGCTGCACGTTCCCCAAGTGATTTACAACTTCTTTGGCAGAATACTAGTTAGTCATGGTTCAAAGGGCAATAAAACAATAAAATTTAAGTATAAACAGATATATATATATGAGTTTAAAGCTATTTAGGATAAAGAAATGTAGTTTCATGTTATAATTTGAAGTCATTTTAGAAATTAAAAAAGGATGATTAAGATTTATTTTGCTTTATTTTTGGTGGTTATAAGGTCAGTCAAATTGAACAACCTCATATAGGATTAGGGTAAAGAAAATAGATAAAATATAAAGTTTTACTGAAAAAACACATCTGAAATTAGTAGGAGATTTTAAAGATTACGCAAATGAAATTTGAGATTTTTCAGATGAAGAAAAGTATTTTTAATCTTAATGTGATGATCACTTTGCAATCGGAGTAGTAACGCTTTGACTGTTTATATTCATTTTCACTAAAAATTCTAATTTTTTTATGTACAAATGACTCTTAATGCTTACTGAAAGCTTATGAAATTTCATGAAGATACACAAAACATATTAGAAGTTATAGTATGGAAACTATAAAGGTCGGTTTGGGTTCAATGTTTAGGTCGAAATGACCGAGCCTGTAGCAAGAGAGTTAATGTTACTGGTTACATTGTGAAGTCTAAACATGAAAATAAGTTATTTATTGATGTTTTTTATGTTTTCTTTACTTTTGTAGTATTTTTATTATATGTTGTTTAAAACTCTGAAAGTGTAAAGTATGTTCTTCTTTTTTATATTTCCCTAAAATTTTGGGGAATTTATAAGTACATTTGAAATGTAAACTGCACGATATAATTGCTTTATTCATTAGAAGGAATTATTAGTATGGTGTGTCTTGTTTCGTGCTGTCTACATACAAATCATTAACTTTTTATTTTAATTGTTTGAAATAATCTTACTGAATATTAATATTTTGATTTTTAATTGGCTTCTGTATGTTTTTAGAAGACTATTCTCAAGTGGCTAGTGATTTCACATCCAAGATTCCTCGAATAACCTTCACTGAAAATAAGACAGGCCTCTTTTGTAATATCAGTTTATATAATGATAGTGCATGCCAGACTTCGCAACTTTTGGCGGACTATTGCAGCATCGATCCAAGAGTAAAAGTTCTTGGAGTAGCTATTTGCAAATGGGCCAAGGTAATGTCAAACTTTTTTTATTATTTTAGAATTCGTTTAGTTTTTATTTTTCCCTGTGATGTCAAATTTCTCTCTCTCTAAGAGATTTTAATTGTTAATCTGTAGTATATTTCTGCACAACACATGTACCTTATTACCTTTGCTCATTCTGCATTTTTTAACTTCATGTTCATTGTTTTTTATGTATATTATAAAGTTGTTGTTATCCTTTGTAAATAATTTCTTTTAAACATTAAAATTTTCCATCTGTGCATCTTTTATTAAACATTTGGGATATTACATCATCCAATGTGTAGAAAAAATATCATAATATTACTAAAATGTCCTAAATCTTAAAACCTTGTTTCCCAGTAAACATTATATTCTATATATATCAAGCACTAAAATCATTCTTGATAATGTGCGTGTGCCATATTTATAGCTAAGCGGAATGATACATATAAGTATTTCACATTAACTAAAAAAAATAGAACCAAAGTGTAAATATGTTTCTGTTTATTCATTTTTGTATGAATAATTCATTATGTTTATTTGTATGTATTTTATGGAATTTGTTTATATTACCATACTTACCTAGTGAGTTTCTATGACATTTGTTTGTAGGGGTATATGGTATAATTAATTTAAATTCCCTGTACTTAATACAGTTGTATAAAAACTCAAAGAATTTACATTACTTTGTGGAAAAGAAAAAACTGGAAATATTGTTATTTGTAAACATACTTTCATCTCATGTTTTGAGGAAAATTATCAACATTGACGAAAGTATCTCTCAAATTAATAGTTAAGAGTTTTAGTAAACCTGGTAATATTATTTTTATTACACTTTTATATAAAGATTCTTCCTCTAACATATCTTGCTTAATAGCATATGCAGCAACTTACTGGTATTATGTTTTATGTTAGTGTTTTGTATTAAACCTATAAGAAATATATGTTACCAATGTTTTTTAGTTTGTAGGAAATTCCTGATCATTGAACAGTTTATTGCTGCCAGTATGACACATGACCATTCTCTCTAGAGAGTGATAGTCATAGTGCAAAATTGTTCAATGATATAAAGACAATGAACAAAATAATGAAGAAGGGAGCTTTCAATTTTCATTATGGAAATGAAAATTTTTTTAGAATAATGTTTATGTAAGCATTCTTTTTTGAAACTACACCTCAAGCTGATTTGGTTCAGTGACATAACAACCTAACAAGAGGCCTGGTTGTGACAGATTACTGGGGTCCTTGGTGGAGCTGAAGATTTTTCAGTTTTAATAGGAAAATAACAGACAAAGTTCAATATACAATAGTGAACCATTATATTAAAACAAATAGGTATACATATAGGTGACCTATACAAAATGTAGGTGCATAATATAACAATATTAACATCCAAAATATACTTTTCAAACTTTTTTGTTTGCAAATGAATCAATAACATTTGCAATGTTTATCTGTTTTGCTTTTTCATTTTCTATGGACAATATAGCAAGGTCAGAAAGTCGTTCTTGAGTAACTTGTGATACCGGATAGTTCTCGATCGGCATAAGCTTTGAAAATGAACGCTCGTACTGTGCAACTGTCACAGGAATAGTATGGAATATTGTACACATGGTGATGATATCCAGAAAACTACCATGCGCACTGTTAAAGTCTATAATGATACACTTATTGTGCTTTTTCATTTTCTATGGACAATATAGCAAGGTCAGAAAGTCATTCTTGAGTAACTTGTGATCGCAGATAGTTTTCGATCGGCATAAGCTTTGAAAATGAACGCTCGTACTGTGCAACTGTCACAGGAATAGTAAGGAATATTGTACACATGGTGATAATATCCAGAAAACTACCGTGCACACTGTTAAAGTCTATAATGATACACGTAATTAATTCATGCACAGTTGACAATGATTTTGAAGCATTTTTGAAATTACATTTACCGGACCAAAAATTTTGCTGAAAAAACAACAGAAAAACAATTTTCATAGATTTCAAGTTTGTTTCTTAATGCAGTAGTATCATTACCCTCATCACCTTTCACACTCCACAGAATTATTACAGAAAGTTCTTTCATCACATCAAGAAATCTATGACGTAGAGCATCTAAGAAATCCAGACACGATGACCATCGTGTTGGGCACAACCATTTTAATGTAAACTGGACCCTGCTTTCTGTCTTTATCAGTTAAAATAGAAGTCAAAATGTCCCAACATACATTTCTATGACCGAAGAAACAATAAACGTGTTCAATGAGAGTAAAAAAGTTACGGGCTTCAGGAATGTTGTCCACAGCATCTTTTATCACTAGGTGCAGGTTATGCGCTGCAAAATGTAAAGATTCAGCAATTGGCTGCAATTTTTTGACTCAAGCCTGCACACCTGAGAATAAATCAGCCATATTTGTAGTGCCATCATAATCTTGTCCAGGTAAATTTTCAAGTTGTAAACCAAAATCACTGAAACATTGAACTATTGTCTCAGTCATTTGTTCTGCAACCTGATGGTTCATTTGTATAAAACCAACAAACAATTCATTGATAGTAACTTTTGTCATGTTCGTTAACATTAGTACAGACATATCTTGGGTTGTATCAACCAAAATTGAGAAATATGAGATATTTTTCAGATCCGTTTTTTGGTTCTCTTTGTTTCCAACAAATCAATTACTTCATTTTGGATAACAGAGCTCAAAAATCTTACTGTGCACTGTTGATACTTTTTTGTCATATACTGCAGAAAAATAACAACTTGTGTTTTGCTTTGGAAAACTTTGCATGACAGGCTGCTGAGGCCCATTCTCAATTATGAAATGGCATTCTGCTGCACTCTGTTGTTTTCACCCAGGTGGATAGTTACCCCTGTCACACATGTCGATGCCAACTTCCAAACCCACATGCAGTCCAGTTGGTTCTGCAGGTTCCATATTAAATTGTGTGAAGTGGTGGGAGTATCTGCTACCTCAACAGTGTCCACAGGCAGTCCAATTGGTTCTGCAGGTTCCATATCAAGTTGTGCGGAAGTGGTGGGAGTATCTGCTACCTCAACAGTGTCCACAGGCAGTCCAATTGTCCCTGCAGTTTCCATATCAAGTTGTGCGGAAGTGGTGGGAGTATCTGCTACCTCAACAGTGTCCACAGGCAGTCCAATTGTCCCTGCAGTTTCCATATCAAGTTGTGCAGAAGTGGTGGGAGTATCTGCTACCTCCATAGCATCCACAGGCAGTCCAGTTATCCCTGCAGGTTCCATATCAAGTTGTGCGGAAGTGGTGGGAGTAACTGCTACCTCAACAGTGTCCACAGGCAGTCCAGTTATCCCTGCAGGTTCCATATCAAGTTGTGCGGAAGTGGTGGGAGTATCTGCTACCTCAACAGTGTCCACAGGCAGTCCAGTTGGTTCTGCAGTTTCCATATCAAGTTGTGCGGAAGTGGTGGGAGTATCTGCTACCTCAACAGTGTCCACAAGCAGTCCCGTTATCCCTAAAGTTCACATATCAAGTTGTGTGGAAGTGGTGGGAGTATCTGCTACCTCCATAGCATCCACAGGCAGTCCAGTTGGTTCTGCAGTTTCCATATCAAGTTGTGTGGAAGTGGTGGGAGTATCTGCTACCTTAACAGTGTCCACAGGCAGTCCAATTGGTTCTGCAGGTTCCATATCAAGTTGTGCGGAAGTGGTGGGAGTAACTGCTACCTCCATAGCATCCACGGACAGTGCAGGCGTAGTAGTTGGTTTTGGTACCAAAAATGAAGTCAATTTAGAAAACTTTTCACGCTTTACCTTATTTTCTGCAGCCTTCTTTCTTCCTTTTGTGTGCTCCACTAGGATGTGCGTGCTTCATCTTAAAAATTTATAAATCAAATAAATTTGTAAAAAATACAATTATGTAATAAATAAAATTAAGAATTAAATGTTATTATATTGAAAGAATTTCAAACCAACACAAACTTTCGATGCATCACAACCTACAGAAATCATATTTATATTCTGAGTATCATTCAGAAAACATCTTTTATTCTGAACTTAGATATGATAAATGCATGTATATATATATTTTTTTTTTTTCCTTATCATGAAAGACAGGAGTCAGGAGGCCTGGGTGTGGCTGCACCCCCTGTACCCTGTTAGTTACGCCCATGCAATGGTTCCAAAAGAGTATCCAACTTAAACAACTGAAACTATACCAGGCATCATTATTACATAATAAACAAGGATTTGAAGCTGGCAGAGGTCACAACTCAAAATTTTACAAGCTTAGAGCGATATCTCTAAATAAATTGCTGTTTTTCATAAAGATGTGGAACAAACTGGAATCACAGTAAACCTATTTGACCACAAATTGTAGTGCAAACTGTAATGATTTTTACATACTTAAGAAATTGGACAGCCTTTGACTTCAAATGAAAAAGAACTTTGTACAAGCATTCTGGTTCAATACCTTTATCAAGGACCTGCAGTACAGAAAAATACGGGCTCTTGATAAAGATGTAGAACTGAATTATTAGAAAGTAAAGTTTTATTTCATATAGGTCAAAGGTAATCGAAGTTTAAAAGTTTGTTTGATCAATGAAGCTAGTGATTTCAGAATATCAAACTGAATACATCTGTTTGTGTAACAATTACTATAGCATGTTTTTAGATATGGTTGATGTTCTTACATTTCTTTTTTATTTGTACATTTTGTTTTTAGGTTTGTGAGATAGATGATGCTTCAAAAGGAACTCTTCCTGCACATTCTTTCCCACTGATATTGATATATTATTTACAACAGTGCAAACCTCCAGTACTTCCAGTTTTGCATGCACTATGTATGGTAAGTATAACATGATGATGAAGGTGTTAACTTAGAAATGTAATTTTTTTTACAAGATTTTTTTATGTAACTTTTGTAAATTTTTTTTTTTTTTACGAAAATGTTCAGCCTGTATTAACCCCCCATAACTGTACAATAACTTTATATGGCTATGTTTATTTCATGCTACTTCTCTAATATATTTTATAACATTAAAATAAGATAAAACTTAAAACTTCTGAATGATTTAAGCTTCGATTGATGGATTCGGGTAAAATTTCAAAACTTTTTTGGCTCGGGTTAACTTGTTACTTGAGAATTAACTATTAAAAGGTTCTAGCAATGGAATGAATATTTCTGCTTATTTGTTTAATCATATCATTTCAGGCAGTATCATTCTTTTTTAAATTTTTCTGAATGTATGAGAAATGTATATAAAAAATAAAATGTTAATAACTGCATAAAAACAATACATATTATGTAATGATACACAATGTACAGTTATGGAGAGGTATAAGGCAAATCACAGAATATAGTAGAAAATGAGTGAATGAACTAGTTAAGAATGCTAATCCAAATGTTGCATACCAAATATTGTTAAGAAGATATTAAAAACTCTTAAAATGTTTGAAGTATTTAGTATGACAAAGTGTGATATTTTCAGATAAAAATGGGTTTGCAGACGAGTATTAGATAGTTGACCCATTTATAACAGCAGATTTGCTCAGGATGTAAGGAGATTAATTCTTAATCTGATTACTTAACTAAGTTTCCTAGTGTGTGTGTGTGTGTGTGAAATAACAATACTGGAAAATTTGTTGGATATTATTACATTTTTTGTTACAAAATAACCAACAGAGTGTATTTAGCTTCTTTCTTTTTCTCTTGAGATCAACTTCCTTTGAACTAAACATGATCTTGAAGTTTACTTGATCTCTTAGTAGAACTGTACCAATAAAGCATGTCTGAATTCAACAGCCGAACTCAGTTTCCTTGTCTAGTCAACAGTTCATTTAGCTAAGTATGTTACAGTGTTAATCCTTTCAACTCGGATACTGTATGTTACTGCAGTATCATTTCGGCAGAATAGACATTACCTACAACAGAGAGCAAAGAAATAATGCAACTACAATCTCTGTGACTTTCTGTACCACACGTTTATGCTACAACTGTATGCACATCAAATAAATGAACAAAAATTTTTAATTCCTATATTACTAAAGCTAGAAGAAAACATGATATGCCTCGTATCACAAAAGTAACATAAGGAAATTTATGAATTTTTAACTTGGCAAAAGATGATTATCCTATATTAAAAAATACACACCTTTGATTGTGTATACACATATTTTGATAGATAACAGTGAAGTATTTGGTGTGGTGTTAGTCCCTTATTGTAGTTCCAAAGTCATGTTAAGTATATGCACAGGTATTGCACCAGACACTAAAAATTATCTCACAATTAAATAAATAGATAAATTTATTTCTTTACAGGTATTGCAGTTCTTTCTGTTACAGGACCTGTTCATAATTTTGTTATTACTAAGTGTCTATATTTAGTTGGTAATCAAGGAGTTTGCCTGTTTTCAAAAAATTATGGGGTGAGCAAAGAAGAGAATTTGTTGTGGGTCATAGATTTCCGTTTCATAGGTTTATCCAAAATCTACTTTCTTAAGGGATTTGTGTTTGTCCTTTGCTACCTTTTTAATGATATCTACTTTATGATGTACTTAATGATTTCATCTGGTGTTAAATCAACAGAAAGCACCATTGTAAGGTGCATTTTTTACAGTACAAATAACTGAAACTTATCCCACCTCCATTGTATTTTTGTAAACGTATGCTAACTTCATTATTTCTTATTACGTTGCCACCCACCAAATCGTTTACAAGATCTCTTACTTTAGAAAGTGTAAAACCATAACCATCTTTTAACATAGGCCCACAATTTTGGCAAGTACAATTCCAGGCATACTTTGTGATAAAGTACATCTTCTTCGACCACTTGGAATTCTGATTCAAGGTCTGCAACTTGAGAGAAGACATCATCCTGGAGATGAAGAGCAGCAGCTGTTAAAAAAGTTGAAAACCTTTTTTGTGTCACAGATGTGAACTTATCTCTTATTTTGTTAAGGCCTTGCTTGCTCCGTATAACACAGGGAAACTTTGCCGAGGATCAAGGTGCTCTTGGTTGGATGTAAGATAAGGTTTTTAGTTCAGAAGAACAACTACTGATAGGTTGATGGTCGCCTTCTTCCAAGTGCAAGGTGACCTTCTCTAAACTCTTTTTTTTTTCAATGTATATTGCTTATAACAGTGGTTATTTACATGGTACGCAAATTCAGTATAGGTTGACACTTGTCTCGGTCTGTTTGTGATAATATCATTCCCAATCTCTGCTGCTTCCGAGGTTTGTTTTCTTCCATTAGAAGTTGTAGTAGTTTTTTTTATCATTTTCTGCCTGATAGATAATGCACAAGCTTAAATCAGCATAACATTCTTCATGTGACTTCCCAGGAATTGAAATTGCGATGATCTCACTATATTTCAATCAGACTTCAATCTGAAAAACAGAAGAAACAAACAGTTAAATTTAAACATAATGACTCAGCAAAAAAAATTAACCCATAAAACTACAGTAACCAGTTATTAAAATAACCAGTCAGTAAAAACACTAACTAAAATAATACACAATAAATTAAGCAGTTCAATAACTTTTTATTTATTTTTTATTCTTTTAAAAATAAGACAGTAGCAAACTCATGACAAACTCAATTATTTTGGTTATAGTAATATGTGGTCCAAAGTTTGTTTCAGTTATGTAGATGTGGAACTTTGGAACCTACTTTCTTTTGTCACCATAACATTTAAAACATCGGTATTTGATTGTTTGACCTTGAAAACATTGGGTAATACACCAGTATTACTTTTGTACCATACTTAGAAGAAGAGATACCAGTACCAAAGAGCAATTGTCACCAAATTCAAAGATGGTTCCTTCCCACATTCTGTGCACTGAGTGGTGAAGTTGTCCCATGTGCTTTCTTAACTTCAAGTGGTTACCTTAATCAGTTTTGACTTTTCTACTTGAGTCTATTCCAGAGACTGGATTACTTATTTGTTTACATAAAAAGTGAACCAAATGTTTATGACTCTTGCAGACTTCCCCTTTTGGGTACAGTAGGAGCATCACTCGTCAGTCACTAGCAACCATCTGCACTAAAAGTAATGAGTGAAGACCAAGGTTGTATTGTTGGACATGTGCATCTACTTCTCCACATAGTGTGCTTCCTGTTTAGGCTTGCTCTGTTTCCATGCTGTTCATGAGGTTGACTTGAAGTACTTTGTAAAAGTTCCAAGATGTATTATAACATTTGTTTATTATAAAGATCTAAAGCTGTGTTTTCTATAAAAAATTGAAAAACAAAAAAGAATGATTATCAGAACTTTGATAGCTATGGATTCTACATCACATGTACTATCATTTGATGTTTTGAGTATGAATGAAGCTGTAGTCATCAGCTATGTGAAGCTGCAATCAGTTACCTTGTTTGAATACAGGTCGTCATGTTTTGAAAGTTTTCTTCATCACCAAACATTTCACAATTAGCATTAGTTGCAAAAATGCGACAACAGCTAATACCATCGTTTATGAGTTACAGTCACATTCTTTTAGCACAACTTCAATTAGTTCTTATGGGTGTTAAATTTCACATTATTCCTTAAGTTATATTAGCAAATAAGTAACTTTTGTAAATATATATTTTCAGGTAGCAATGCATACTAGGGATTTTCCATCTTACCTCATGCTCTTCTTGCTAACAGAAATACTAAAGAAAAAATAGTTATATCTGATTTTATAACAAAATTGAATAACTTCCTGTAGTCTAAACAGTTTGGCATTCACAGATAACTCAAAATAGAAACATATCTTGTTGATACCTCTCCAGCTTGCAGGGGGGGGGGGTCATACATCACTGAAGGAGCTTCATGGCAAGGTAACTGATAGCTGAAGTTAATCTAGGGCTAAGCCTTCTTTTCCAAGTGTCTATGGATGAACTCTGTGTAAATTGGAAACTCTGATTTCTTGGCATTAGAACATTGGAGATGAGACACATCAACATTTGTTAAATCTTGGTGTCCATGACTTGTATATTAGCATAGTGCATTAAGTGGCAGTATGGTTTCTGATTGGGACATTAAACGTTTTTTAGATTGTTGAAGTATTTGCAAATCAGAAGTGAGAATTTCACAAATATCATAGGGTCAGCTGTTTTCCTCAAAACAATTTTGAAAATACTTATGACTGGGAAATATTGATGTGATGGAACATTTCTTTGGTCTTCCACACACATTTAATCATATGTATCCAGAAAAAAAATCTGGAAAGGTAAATGTTTCAACAAAATAAATCCATGAAGCTGCCAATACCAATTTTATTCATGGTGAAAGTGAACATATTCTTGTCAATAACAAGAGAGATCTCTTCATTTCTACTGATATATCAGACAGATAATCCAATAATTATCTTTTATGTAAGATAGCTTGCTTCACATCATTAGTACCTGGATGGATCATTTTATTAGAAATGACTGAAAATTGTCACAAACTCAATAAAACTAATGAGTGCTGGCTTGTTACTCAGCTTGCCACAAAGGTGCCAGCTGTATAATGTTGGATTTGTGACTGTGAAACTACTAAATGACTTGAAACTTTCAAGAAGGAATGAAAGAAAGAAAATACTCACTGTACTTAAGGTGAAAACTGTTCTCAAACTTCCGAAGAAATTGCCAATTAGATATGGTGTGGAACCTGTTTTGGGTAGACCTGATGCTGGTCATTAGTTTCTGACAGTTACTTGAAGTAGCAGAAAAGAACACTTTAAAGTTTGGCAAAAGTTAAGAGGTTGAAGGAAAAAATTTAATGAAGCCCTTTGCCAATTTTAAAGAATTTGATTAAACCAAAACTGTAAATGTCAGCTTACAGGAAGATTTGAGAATTGATGTTATCTTCCATGGAAA